GTAGTTTAATTTCTGAAAGGTGGCAACCCTCACTAACAGCTAACAGTAGAACTAATTTTTCTTTTAGCGGCTTGGTTTGRTCACTGACTTTGAAAACCGTTAGTGGACCAGTTAGCTTCTGCGAAATTACCGCAGGCTTTGCCTAATTTAAGTCCGCTAACAGCTAACTAGCACAAGTAACTATAAATAGGTACAGTATAGCTAGTTATCACAGTTATAGCATAGATATATTTATATCATGCACCTAGAAGCATTTAGGTGTTAAAACACTGCTCTTGCATATGAGAATTTACTGACACTTACGGTTCAAGACAGGCAGTGGTGGGTGTGTTTTGGATAATCAGCTAGCAGCTGATTATCCAAAACAACTATTTTTTTCATTTAGCAAATTAGTTTTTTCACTAGCASTGAAAATCATTAAAGCACCAATTTAATTCYATTCAAAAACACTTTATTGATCCCAGAGGGAGATTGGGTAGAATCAATTAGCTTCTGCTAAATAAGGTTTTGCCAACTAACTAAAAAGCAACAYGTTTGTGTCAGTCTCACTAGTCTTCAGCTGGAAGGAGATGAAGACGTGACAAAGACTGAGTCATCTTAGCAGTTAGCATTGAGTTCATGTTAGCTTTTGCTAGTTTTTACATGTTTAGCTGTTTAGCGTGATGAAGCTGTATTTTTAGTTAGCGGATTTTGAGTTTGTAAAGTTAACTTCTTGGTTAGCTCTGGCTGCCACCGAAGAAAGGTTTGTCAACGAGACGCCCACATCTGTAACCCAGTGAGAAACTGMTTTACTCACATCCGATGAGCATGACACAGATAGAAAAGATCTTCTCAGAGTTGGTGTTGGGGGAGACATTCCCAAAGCCGACACTGGTCAGACTACTGAAGGTGAAGTAGAGCGCCGTCACATACTTATCTTTGATGGAGGGGCCTGAGGCAGGGTCAGTGGTGTTGTATTTTTTTCCTGTAGTAAAAAAGACAAAACAGATCAGTATTGCTCCACAGTGCCTATGTTCCACCTCAGTTATCAGAACGTACCTATTGACACCCCGAGGTTGTCCAACCAGCCGATCTTATGCTCCAGATAAGGCTTCTCCACGTTGCCGATTGCATACCAGATGCAAGCTAACCAATGGGCAATCAGCGCAAAGATACACATGAGCAGCATAAGAACAGCAGCMCCGTATTCTGAGTACCGGTCCAGCTTACGGGCAACTCGAACCAGTCGTAGCAAACGGGCTGTCTTTAGTAGACCAATKAGAGTGGTGGTCTAGAAAACAAAGGAACACACAAATATTAGTTACTTCAAACTTTACACATGATGTACTTCTGGCATCCTTCCTATGTAGAAACATTTTTCTGGCCCAGTTCTGGCCCACACAAGGCATTAACACTGTAGAAACTGGCCCATATACCACAAAGAATGACAACACTTTGGTGGCCCGAGTGRGGTTTACACAGGGATTCTTAACCTTTTTGACCTCGGGGCCCAATTTATTCAACATAAAGTGGCACGA